AAACAAAACTATCGAACGCAGGCTATCCAAGATATATTTTTGGAATCCGCAGTTTGTATCCTGGGACCATTTTCATAAGAAATACCGTAAGAATATCGTTTCACTGTACCAGGATTAACTTGTCATCAATAAATTCTTATTGTCTTTGATGGATTAATAATTGCAGTATTGATTTAGCTTTTTATGTCATCATCTGGCTGATTATTTCACAGGTTCTTATCCAAGAGATCGGAGATCGACATTTCATCGCTATTGGGGTGGTTTGCCGTGATCATGACCTTCACAAATTCCCCGGATGGGAAGGCAATGCCGCAGGGTATCACGTTGATGACGGAAGAATCTATGATCGGCAAAATCCAAAAATTGGAAGAGAGTGCAAAGGTAAGTTTCCCCTATACGTCTTGACATCCAGCTCTAAATGTTTTTGCTCTATTCTTGAAATTTTATTTACTTTATTGTGAGTCCAAATAGAGTTGGATTTGTGTAAAGTCTCATTAGATAAAAAAYGGAAACGGCTCTTATCAAATGTTAAAAAAATGATTAATTAGTCGAAGCCGAAAGGTATAAAAGATCTATATCAAATACTTTGTTCTATTATCATGCATAACTTTACAATAGGAGTATATAAAATACAGTGTTATTCAGTTTTTATTAGGAGTGTATAGTTTCTACTGAAAACCGATATTGTATCATAACAAAGGTGCTATTGCCCAAAGAGGTGATCTGATTGGTTGTAAGATCTTGTTCGATGAGCAATCAAAGACGGGTAGCCTTCCTGTGTCAATCACACTAAATGGGCGAATCATTGGCCGAGCTACAGTCAAGGGAAGAATTAAACTCGATGRCAATTGGACAGACAATGAATTTTATCCTTTTATTGGCATTGGATGGGAAGGAGTTACCTTATTATTCAAGGTACGTTCCTTGTCTTCTTGAAACTGGGTAAAATTCTCTTTTGTTGGTTTTCGATCAGTTTCTGGAGATTAAAAAAACGAACAGCTTGTCGGCAGTATATCGGAAATTTATTTTTATTGACGTTTCATCTGCCAGCGGCATCACGCAGCAGAAGTAAAAGTACCGTGGGCCACGTCGGTGGTTTGGCAATTATATTTACAGATCAAACATTGTGAATATACTGTAAAATCAATTTACAAATCATTTTAATTACAAATAGTTTATAGAAGATTAAATTATCTTGTCTGTAAATTTAAAAATTTACAGACTCCTGTAAATTGATGAACTTTTCCAGTGTACTGCGTGCTTAACCAGATTTGACACTTTACTCTACCATTTTCACCTTAGAGAGTTGTATCCAGTCCCAAAGTGTATGGAATCAAGCAATAATCCAGTTTCGAATTCTCCAATGCTCTGTGTGTTACCCTCATTTGTGCGCAAAATATTCCTAATTGTGAGAATAAAAGTGTGAGATTTCAAATCAATTCTATTGTCTTTCTTTTCAAATTCCATGCGTTTTCTCGGCCTATCATGAAGCAAAATAATATTTTGCTTATGGTTTTGAGGCTAACACAGAGCAAAACAGAACTCGAAAACGGAGTATTGATCACCACGTTATGTGTCATACCGTGATTCAGATCGAGTCTTATTGAGGATCAGACTGAGTACATAACCAAGTGTCCATCTCATCACCATCACATGTTTTAGACAACCAATCATAACGCGCGCACATATAACACGGCAACTGATTGGTCCTTAATTGTTGACTCTACTTCGAGAGCAAACAAGAAAAAAGAAAGTGTTGTCGATGGAGGCCTGAACAAAATGAATCTTGTATACTTGTAATCTTGTAATGCAAGCTTAATTTTCATTTCTTTTCCGCTCTTGAAAAAGTATCAACAAGGACCAATCAGGTGCCGTGTTATGTGTGCGTGCGTTGTGATTGGTTGTCTAAAAATAGATTATCGGGACATCTGATGGTGATGAGATTATTACCGAGATGGACACTTCTGTTGCGTAATCGCTTGGAGGTTGACTTTATTTCTCTTCACTAATTTATCTCGAACTATTCCAAAGTTTTGTATAGTGTATTGTG